TAAGTTCAGTTATGGCAGGTCATTTTGTTGATTGTGGAATTATGATGCTACCAAAACGTGTGCACTTCAATTAAATCAGCAATCGGTGGCACTTTAGTAACTAGTTGGTAATAGGGAGCCCATGGTAAAGGTAGTCATGCGGTGTCATGACTGCATTATAATTATAGCGAGCGATGCAGACTAGAAAATAACTGCTGTCCATTACAGAAGAGAAGAACTGTCTGGAACCTCAAAGTTTTTTGCGCTATTACTATTTATAGTTTATTTTTGTCACATGAGATTTTGCTAATTGGATGACAAACATTAATCAGCCGATTGTAATATGGGAAAGGGATAATATGCAATTATGATATTACTCCTCCTTCAGAGGGGAAAAAAATCTCCATTTTGTGCCTATACTCCAAGTCTTTTGTATACCTATTCTTTTATATTTATTAGAGTTTGCATTTGTCATATGAGCTTGGAATAATTAGGCAACAATTCATTAATTAGTCGAGTAAAAGTAAAAAAAGGATTAATATATAATTCTCAGTCTATCCCTCTTTTAGGGAAGGATATGAACTTGTGTTGTCTATCTATACTTTGGGTGTCGTAGTTGCTTTTTTACTCATTTATTTGATGTAATAATCCTGTTTTTTATTGTCATTGCATAATGATAAGGCTAAAATTGTGCTTATTTTTAGTGTACAGATAAATACTGACTATTGCTTTAGATGTGCATCGGATTGTAATGAAATACTTATTTGCATCTGTCCCTTAGAATGGAATGATATCTTTGCTTTGTGTAGTTATATGTTTCCGTATTGTCAAATGAAGGTCGAGTTCTTCTTCAGTTTGTTGAACCCTTCTTTCGTCTCTCGACACAATCCATGTAACCACTCTCCGCTGCGATGACTGGCCTCCCGACCGTGTCGCCCAACCGCTCGCCCCCCTCCAGAGAGGTACGGTCAGGCCGGCAACCACAGCCGCCGCCGTCACCACGCAGCCGACCTGCTGGCCGGCCCGACGTCACAGAGACGCGCTATCGACAGTCGGTTGTCACGCCGATCATTTCGACGGATACACGAAGTGTCGCCGGCTCGCTGGTGCCACCGACCCGCCAGCGCTACCAGCCGGCGACGAGGAGCAGCACCGATGCAGCGAACGATCGAGCCGGCGACGAGGAGGCCAGGCAACTGGGCCACATGAAAGTGACTGGAGCTGAGCGACAGCGAAATCGACGACGAGACCGAGATCAAGACCGGGACCGGGACCGGGACCGAGACCGAGACCGGGATCGAGACCGGGATCGAGACCGGGACCGAGAACGAGAACGAGAACGAGATCGAGATCGAGATCGAAACCAAAACTCGCACGGCGACAATCAGCCCCGTCACAACCGCTCCTCCATTCAGCCCAACCAAACGGCCCACCACTCGCCGAGCTCGTCTCGGAAGACGATGCAGCCCGACTCCAAGACGCCGGTCTCGGATAGTTGGGTGTGAAGAGAAGCCGCCCACTGTTCTGCCAGCACCACCAAGAGCCCATCTCGACGGATGCAGTTGCATAAGGGCCGGAAACAGTTTTGCCCCAAAACCATACTACTCGCTTCGCCTCATTTGCTTGTATCGTTCAATGTGTAGACGACAATTCACTCGAGGCAAGACCAGGTTGTGCAGCAACCAAAGTGTTCTCAGGTTGTGGACCGGACAAAGCCAGAAGTTTGCCAGTTCATATCAAACTTCCTATTGCTTCTAGTCCCAAATTAATGCCAATTTTGACTTTTGCTCATATCCTAGACACAATAGACAGGCCAATCAGGCTTTGGCTTGCGAGTGTCAATGTATGCATGTGTGTGTGTGTGTGTGTGTTTGTGATGATTATAGCATCACCAGCAGCAGATTGCTTTTGTACATATAAATGCTACCTCGGAACGCTTGATACGTTGTTGCGTCGAATCCGTCTCAACCCCATCGCATGTACAGCTCTTCTTCTCCTCGTTCGAACGCCAAATCTGAGCCCTGGCCGGGAGACGATTGAGGCCACGGCAGGCCTTACTTTGCACCCCGGAAAGATGATAAATGCAACCTGAACCGAGCCTACGTAGACAACTCTCGATTTTGCCATGCACTTTGACAATCAAGAAGTTTTTGATTTGCTTGAAGTGATTGTTTATTGTGATTTTCATAGCTTCTACTTGCGGAAGCGGAAAACCGGAATACTTTTTATTGCGCTAGATTTCTTTTACTACCAAAAAGTATCAAAATACACTAAATGAACTCTGCTTTGTATTGGCTCATTGTTCAGTTGGTCTATTTGTCCAGCCGTCGAGATCGGCTTTTCGGTTGTTCGTGTTGTTGGCGCTCTCGCCTGACTGATTCTTTCGGTCGGCAAGCAAGCTCACGGTTGACTGGTTAAATGGTATTTTCGCAGATGTACCAAGTTGAGGCTGAAGGAAGGTTCAGTCTTCGTGACTGTCGATGGCTTTTGAGGTGATTTCATGACTGATGGGTGAGTTTTGCCCCAACTCACGCAAATAGATCCAATGCTGTCGAAGAATTTGGCTCAGCCTAGCCTCCCATAAGGTTGGACTGTCGTCTCGAATTCACCTCATCGTGTCATCAGCACACGCAACGGGCTTCGAAAGTCGCTCATGCGAGTCGATTGGCAACAGGTGACGGCTTCGCCAAACGCACTTCATGGGCCAGTGAGTCACAGGGCAGATGTGCTCTTCCAGGCTTCTCTCAGTTCCCATTTTTCAGTCGAGCTAGCCACAATGTGACAGATTTGTATGGGTCATTAATTTCATTGATACTACTGCCTATTAAATGAGTAGTAGGCTTCAAAATTATCAGCCTTTCTTGAACAAGAACTCAAGTCACTTGAAGACTTCCAGGTTGTGTTTTTCGTGTATAAGTAGACCTTTCAGACTACCACTAGCTCGTATTTATGAGATATATTCATCCCAATTCATTTAGGCTGAAATAGGGACTAATATTTGAATTGTCTCACAATGAAATGAGTAGATATGTGGTTTCCATTGAATTTACCATAGTCTTGCTCTCGCAAAATTTATTCTCACATTCGATGATA